CAAACAATGCACGAAAAAAAAGAAGGGTATTTTCCTACATAAACAAGAAGACGGACGAAATTAAGATGAAGAATGTTGGATGAGAAGTTGACATATGTCAATCAACTTTAAGGTTACACATCAGAGAGGGAGAGAGAGAGAGAGAGAGAAAGAGAAAGAGAGCATTGTTCCACCTAAATAAAGAGAATTAGTTCCACCTAATCAAAGAATCAATAACTTAAACAAAGGGGAGATAAACGCCTTTAGAACAAAAGAGCAAGGTTGAGAATTATTTGGCTAATGAAAGCCCCACATCTTTAAACGCGTGATCATAAAACTAATTATTGCAATCAGACCCACAGCTTTCTTTAATGTTATTTTAATTTAAAGACTGGATAAAAGTTGCTAAAGAGTTGGCAGTTAGAGAAAGATTGATAAGAGGATTTGAGGTAGTCTTCCGAGGTGATTGATTAGAAAAAAATAGGCAAAAGTACACCACAAGTGCCATAACTTGTGTACGGCGATCACTTTGGTGCCATAACTTTTTTTCGGATCACTTTGGTGCCAAATCGGAGCAAAAGAGATCACTTTAGTGCCAATTTGGCCGGAAATCTGACATGGCATTTTTTATTAATTTTTTACGCCGACGTGGCTCGCCGGAGGCTGAGTCAGCGTGTACAGTCAGCATTTTTTTTAAATACATTTTTTTAGCGTGTACAATCGGCATTTTTAATTTTCAATATTTTTTTTCCTTTTTTTTTTCTTCTTTCCTTTTTCTTTTCTTTTCTTTTTTTTCTTTTCTCCCCTCGCCGGCCGGTTGCCGGTAGTCGGCCGGCCACCGGCGAAGCCCGGGAAGGGCTGGGCGAGGGCGGCCTTGCCCATGGCCGGCGAGGGGCGGCCGACCCTCGCCGGCGACAGGCGAGGCCGGCCCTCGCCGGCCCGGCGAGGCCGCCCTCGCTTGCCCAGGCGAGGCCCCTCGCGTCGAGGCGCCCTCGCCGGCGTCGGGCAAAGGAAGCCCTCGCACAGGCGGGCGAGGGTCGCCCTTGCCGGATCTAGCGAGGGCTACCCTCGCCGGTGTCGGGGAGGGTCGCCCACGCCCGACTCAGGCGAGGGCGACCCTCGCCCGCCCAGGCGAGGGCTTCCCTCGCCCGACGCCGACGAGGGCGACCCTCGCCCGCCCGGGCGAGGGCTTCCCTCGCCCGACGCCGGCGAGGGTCGCCCTCGCCGGATACGGCGAGGGCGAAGCCCTCGCCGGGCGGGCGAGGGTCGCCCTCGCTGGGCGGGCGAGGGTCGCCCTCGCCCTGAGTCGGGCGTGGGCGACCCTCGCCTGGGCGAGGCGCCCTCGGGCGGCCTCGCCACATCACCAGGCGAGGTCGGCCGCCCCTCGCCGGCCATGGGCAAGGCCGCCCTTGCCCACCCTTCCCGGGCTTCGCCGATGGCTGGCCGACCACCGGCGAGGGGAGAAAAGAAAAAAAAGAAAAGAAAAGAAAAAGGAAAGAAGAAAAAAAAAAGGAAAAAAAATATTTAAAATTAAAAATGCTGACTGTACATGCTGAAAAAAATTATTTAAAAAAAATGCTGACTGTACACACTGACTCAGCCTCCGGCGAGCCACGTCGGCGTCAAAAATTAATAAAAAATGCCACGTTGAATTTCCGGCCAAATTGGCACTAAAGTGATCTCTTTTGCTCCGACTTGGCACCAAAGTGATCCGAAAAAAAAGTTATGGCACCAAAGTGATCGCCGTACACAAGTTATGGCACTTGTAGTGTACTTTTGCCGAAAAAAATATGGGCTACTGGCTATTTCCGCAGATTTTAATATTTTTGACTAAATGTAAGGAGGATAATCGATTTCGTGTCGTTATGTAATTGCCCGAATAATTTGAATTTTATTCGATATGAGGAAAAAAAAGAGGATACTTATTAAAGGGACCCTTAATGTCGAATCGGTCATATTTGTATGTGCCTCATGTCTTATTCTTATTTAGGGAAAATTATCCAATCAGTCCTAACGGATGTCAATTTAGTCATAAATATATCAATTTTGCCAATTTAGTCCTAAATTTTTGAGCAAAAATCCAATGTCGTTATTCCGGTCAATTTTCGACTGAAATTACTAATGTTGCGGTCTAGTCATCGCCGACCCATCCTGTGTGGTGCACCGCCACGTCAAGGATTTCTGGACTGAACCGGCATCCTTCTCGTATTTTTCTCGCCTCAAATTCAGTGTCCAACGCAAAGAGAAGAAATTGACCTTGTTTTTAGGACTTGGCCTTTGATGAGAATCACAGATGTGATTAATGGTGTTCCGGGGGTAATTTAGGCAAAAAGATACCTTGTTTACTGATAGCAATGGAGTTATGTTGATTGCTGAGTGAGACAACTATGGTCAATGAGCGAGAGTGATCATTCAAGGCAACCTTTTTCAAGTCGAGCAAGCAGCAGGTGAAAAGAAGATTACTTACTAGTGACTATTGAGGGCAGTTGAGATTAGTTGGCTTTTTATCACGCTTTGATTGCTGTCAAAAAGTTAGGCGCAATGAGTCACAAGTAATGGGTGAGCAATCGATTGAGCTGTAGTAGTCTTTGATATCTCGTGGGACCAGGGAAAATGGTCTCGCAAACACATGAACGAATAGTCAACACACACTAATCATCAATTGACAAAATAGATTTTAGCCCCTACAGATATAAATCACGTGTACCATATTTTAGATGGAACTTATATCTCGACCCTTATCCTAAAGTCATTTCTCGAAAGTAGAGGTATTTACGAAGCGCTTTTCGATATATTGAAAGCCTACGATGAATTGCTAAGATCACATTCGTGTAGCTTCTTTGAGTATTGCAATAATAACTTGTCGTGAGTATGACAGCTCACTCAAGCGGCTCATTCGGCCTTATGTCTGAATGGACGTAATTGTGGAAGTTGCTTCCTTTTTGAGAAATATTTGAGCCCGGTATCCGACCAAGTCTATTGATCGATCAGGTTTTGTTATAATATTAGTCTCATACCAGCCAGTGCAAAACCACTCACCCGTCTAATGGCGAGCAAGAATATGTGGCATTTTCAATCCGTCCGCAGAATTTCAAGTTCATTTTACTCTCTATGCAACTCCAAATTTATTAAATATATGGTGGAAGAGATTTCTTATTATTTGTTTGGTTGAATGACACAAATGATCTCTGAACTCTAACCCAATGTGCAATATAGTCCCTGAACTTTTAATTTGTTAAATATGGTTCCTGAACTTTAGCCCAATATGTAGTGTGGTCCCTTGTTGACACCTATATTGGCCGAGGGGAGGTCGCGACAACCTTGAACTTTTAATTTATTCTATGTAATCCCTAAACTTTTGGTAAATGTTCAAACTAGTCCTTAGATCATATGAAATATTCAATGTTATCTTTCATAAATTTAAGTGCAGGGACAATATTGAACATTTTCATATAGTCCAAGAACTAGTTTGGACATGTACCAAAAGTTTAGGGACCACATTGAACAAATTAAAAGTTTATGGATTACAATGCACATTATGTCAAAGTTCAATGACCATTTGTATCATTTTTCCTATTTGTTTCTACAAATAACTAAATGATCAGTATGTAAATATCTTCATGAGATTATAAATCGTTTTCTCCACATCAGTGCATGAGAAGCTTAATTGTAGAGAATCACACGACATAAACATCGATTTGTGAATCTGAAATATCTCAAACTTTGACATGAAAACCTTGAAGATCTGCTAAAATTAGCAGCTTGCTAAGGACAGGAAACAGATCTGAAAATGGAGTCGTCAGCTGCAGAAGCACATGCCCTTGTTCCACCACCTTGGATCATTGCTCTTGCAGTTCTCGCACCAATTAAAACAAACCGCTTGCATGTGCTCGCTTTCTCAGTCCACCACTCGGTCATTTCTACACGGGTTTTGTCCCAATTCAAGGTCCTGATCAATTAAATTATCTCCAAGGATGTAATGAATGCGACCAAGTTCGTGAGTTGTACCTCTGATCTTCTTGCCCGTTGCCTTGTCTCATCTCCAAATCACAGGGCGGTCCACTGCTCAGCCATATTATCCTCCTTCAAACACATTTCTAGGTTTCTTTCATCCACAAGACAGTCAAACAAGAAACGTTTCGGTTCACTGTACAGATTCACATGGGTCGTGCACTATTGATCTCGTGCAGACTGTACGAATCAGCAGTTATTCACTCTAATGATCTGCTGAGAATCAAGAGCTAGGCCATGGGGTCGCTGCGCCTACGAAACAACCCTTCACTGCAATCGTCTCGGCGTTTGGTAAAACAATGATGCGCCAATAATAAGATAGGTCCAGGTGCTAGAAACAGGTCCTCCTCCTTCCTTGTCCTTGTGAACTAACTTGTGCTCGATGCTGCCCCTGCTAGTGCTAGTAATCATTCCACACCCAAAAAGATGTTGGCCCAACCCAACTCGTCAAACCCCTTTTATTTAAAATTAAAAAAAGAACAACATTCTTTTTTTGCGAGAAAAGCTTGCCACAACTTTGAAGGTCGAGATTCATCCTATAATCTTGCAAGGTGATCTTTTTTCCACACCCAGGTTGGTCTATTCTCTCCCTCTCTCTATCTCTTTCTTTCTTTTGCTTCAGAATTTTACATGTTACATTGATGGTGTAAAAATTCATCCACAAACAGGATTAAGTTATTGATACTTACACAATTAAAAGTAATAATTGAATTCGTTTCATTTTCTAGATAAAAGTTTCTTTCATTTACAAAGAACATATTTACATTGAGAATCCTTTTAACCAATACGTCATAAATTTACTCTAGTACTTCGAGTGAGACTCGAGTGAGAGTGAGAGAGAGAGGCTACAATTTGAAAAATGAGAAAAGGTTGAAACTCTCTCTCTCTCTCTCTCTCTCTCTCTCTCTCTCTCTCTCTGAAAAATGAGAAAAGGTTGAAACTCTCTCTCTCTCTCTCTCTCTCTCTCTCTCTCTCTCTCTCTCTCTCTCTCTCTCTCACGCATCCACCACCTTTAAAAGCAAGAGTGGTTGCCCTCGCTAAGAAGCTCTTTGTCTCTTTTTAGTACTCCTTATCTCACTTGCTTATCTGAAACCATATTTCATCATCTTCTTCTCCAAAAGAGAAAAAAATGAAGAGAATGGATCTGTTCTGTGCATCGCCCGCGTCCACTGCGATATGCACGAGCTTGGACCAACGTTCTATGGTCCGACACGGAACCACTAGGCCCATCGACCGCCACAACCGACACCACCCCCACCACCCCCACCACCACCACCAGCTTCGAGATCGCCGGAAACACCACCTGATCACCGGGCACGTGCCTTGTTCCTCCCACCAACTGCCCTTCACTCCGAGGCCTTATTCCGAAAAGCCCAGGAAGAGCACTGGCTCGTCGTCCACGAAGCTGATCACCAGTAGCGATCACAACCAGCACATCCGCAGGAAAAGCTCAGCTGACGTTTACGACCTCGCGAGTGGCACCCCTCATGGTTCAGCCAGATATTTGCTGAGCGACAGGCCCTTCGTCGACTGCGTTTCAGAGTCGGCTCGGGTCTCGTCCGCATTGGTACCCGTTCCACAAGTCAATAACGAGACGAAGTGCCAGGTCGGGTCCAACGATTCTCCATCTCTCAAAGCCTCTAATTCGGCTCGCTCTCGCGACCAGGTTCGCATGCGATTTTTCGTTCGTCTTATAGTCTCCCTTCTGTTCTTGTGTAATCTTGTTGTGGTGGAAGGACTTAATTCAAACTCTCTTGGACAATTGCTCATAGAAAGAACTATTCAGTGAATTATGTAGTCTCCAACTTGCTTTACAGACTTTTAAAATGTGAATACTATCGTGTTAGCTGTAAAGAAAGCGTTGCTTATTTTGGAGGTATTCTCGATTTGCAGGTTGTGGTTTTGAGTGTGTCGCTGCACTGCAAGGGATGTGAGAGCAAAGTGAGGAAACACTTGTCGAAAATGGAAGGTGGGTTTTCCGAACACCTGTCGAACTGTGAACCCCGGGCATGAGTATATAGTCCATCTCATTTGATCAGCGAAGTGCACAAATTTTTAACGAGTGCATGTGGTGGCGTTGTCTGGTTTCTGTGCAGGAGTGACGTCGTTCAGCATCGACATGGAGACGAAGAAAGTGACGGTGAAAGGAGACGTGACGCCTTTAGGTGTTCTGACCAGCGTCTCTCGGGTGAAGAATGCTCAGCTCTGGCCATCTTCGACAACCTCTTCTTCACCTTCATGGTCCTCCTGACCTAATCAAATCCACTGATTAGTCTCTGATGATATTTCCCTTTCTGTCTAAATGAATTCCCAGGTTAGAGTTCCTAGAAGAGCCCCCGTGTGTGTAATTTTTCCATAAATCTCAAACATGTATGGCCGTGCTTTGTAAATTATATTTGAAAAGAAACGTTGTGTGTCCACATGGTCAGAATCTTGATCTATGTACATGTTTGAATTAAAGATAGTAAAAAAGACCTTAGAGGTCTGCTTGGTATTGGCGCGATCCGATATCTTAATTTTTCTCTCGAAACAAACAACGATGTCCTTTTTTGCAGCATTCCATTTTTTCATTTCGTTTTTCTTCTCTGAATTTTAAAGTCCCTGCTCGGCTGGCGATTCCGAACATGTATTCTCGTGCTCAGTTCTGTCCGTGGCTAAAGAATACCTGTCGGAACTTATTTTACGGACATAATTCCGATCGGTCGCCTTTTGCAAGATGATCATGTGATCAAAACCCTTGGCTCGGTCCCAACCCCACCAGGCAATTGTCTGGACACTGCATCATTCTTAATTTGGTCACGATAAACCCCACTAAGCCACAATTCCGTGAGTGATTTAATGAAATAATTCCAGCTAAAAATCATTAAATCCTGGCTTAATCAGTTAAATATAAGATGAAAAGATGGATTCGACTAGTTCTGAAATTTAATATGATGGCAAAGCCTGAGGCTCTCCATCATTTTGTTGATGAGCCAACGCCTGAAGCTCCTCCATGCGGATCTGACTCTCCCTTGTAAGTGCGTAGAGCGTACATGAGCCATGTATGATCATGATGTAGTCGATGGAGGTGGTCACCGATCATGACTGAGGTTGTCACATGTGTATGTGTACGCACGAACACTTTTTCCTTGTCTGCGATCTGCTGGGCGTGCCATTCACTGATATGAGTGGGGTTCCTCCATTTGAGAGAAAGAGAAACAAAGATAGAAATTCATAGTAACTTGACCCTATTGTTTCTATTCGTAATTGACGAACTTATATCACAATTACATTGAGCTCTTCGTGGAGATTAATGAAGGAGTTTTCTCATATTCACTCCAAGTGTAATAGCTCTTGATTTCCACAAAGAATGCGCGTGTGAAATATATATTGTAACCATGCATGGAATGTAACGTGCATATCCTTAAATTCTTACGCACTCGTGCCATCAATATAATTTGGATTTACTAAGGACAGTATACAAAATAAGACCCTAGATTAAGGGATATCAAGCTTCTCCAGTTGAAATAGCAATTGATAAAGAAAACCCAGATTAATTTGTTTGAGTTTGCCTTAAGTGATTATTGTTCAGGAAGAGCGCACTTAGTCAACATAAGTTGGTGCTGGAGTTGAGCAATCCAGAATTAACTTGAAGCCCTGACAAAAGCAAGTCGAACAACTTGATTGACCCAATGTTGTGTGTATGAAATTGTAAGTCCAACTTAAGATTTTTTTTTCCTCGAAGGAAATGTTTTGCGACCTTAGAAGAATGTAAAAAGTCAATAGGAATTGGTTTTTAAATTGAGAAAAATATCTTGAGCCGATCCACGCTTGCTTGATTCAATGTTAACACATAATCTTCTTGGACCATATGCTAATTTTTCCACGTAGGGTACGAGTCAATTCCAAATAATGGAGGGGATGGTGGGGGCTGCATCCATGTCTTTCCGTTTCTTCTTTCCTTTCTTTCATTATTATTATTATCTTTTTTGCCATCTTTCTGTTTCATCTTTCATTTCCTGCTTTTTGAAACTTGGATCATCTCATCTTTAACCAAGTTCATGATACAAATGAGACACGAAACCCTTGAGTTGAGTTGGTCGGTATAGAACAAAAAGGTTGCAATTTCAATCAATTTCAATCTCTCTCTCTCTCTCTCTCTCTCTCTCTCTCTCTCTCTCTCTCTCTCTCTCTCTCTCTCTCTCTCTATCGACGAGTTTCAAGTTTATTTTCTGCCTTTTTGTTTTGTTCTGTTTTGTTTCTCACTTGGCTTACCTTTTATTTCTTTGACTATGACGTGGGCGGCTTGGAGGAAAGAGGGAAAGAACCAGAAAAGGGAGGATGAGATATCCACCCTTCAATTGATCTTATGGTTAATACTAGTGGCCGGATCAGAAAAATTAGGGTTTCTTTCTTATTTTTCGGTCGGCGCACTTTGGATGGTGATTTGGCGTGGGGCTGATATTCCGGGGCTGAATGACCCCAATTTGGACATCTTCAATTTGCTAAAAAAAGATTATTTCATCTCAAAGTTTTACTTAACTAATTTATTTCTTCTTTACAAAATTTTGAGGGATATTTTGCTTTCTATGCGAAGTTACGATTGGGCATAATAGATATGTTTGTATCATCGTTAAAAATTTTGCGGTGGTTACGCGGATGATGATATATCCGTACTATCGTTACAAGGATCTTAACGAGAAAATTCAATTTATCTAACTAATTATACACGTCATATGAGTCAACCTAGTTATTTCCTTACGTTTGATGGTGTTGGAAATGACTTGAAAGACATAGTTGACTGGTGTTATTGATTAGAGAATCCACTACAAAATTGCCTTTAGAACAACAAACCAGCCATGCTTAGAACCAAATCATACAAACTTCAAGCTCAAACAAGTCTTCTGGGGTTATTGCTCGCTGCGCGGATTGATGAAACGAATTTGCGAAATCAGATTTGAAATTGAACTAAAAGAAGCAAACAGATCCTAATTGAAGAACGGCAATCGTTGCACCCTAGAATTGCATCCATCCATATTCTTCGTTTTGTTTTTGTCAAAAAGGAAGAAATCACAGAGCTGCGACGTCCAAACCAGCCAACTAAAGTAGAAATCAAAAGAGAAAGGAGAATGCGACGGAACCAAAGAAAGAAAAACTTCCGAGGGTTTCATGACAAGACAAACGAAATATGATTCGAAAGGCTTTTTGTTGGGTTCCTCCGCTTTTGGGGGACAATGAGAAACGCCCATCATGTGCTTTACTATTTCCTGTTGATGTTGAGGACGATGTGAATTTAACTTCATTATGATTGGAACCTTTTGAAATAAAAAAAAAAACTCTCACATAACAACCAGAGCCATGAAGACAAGCATAGTATCTGTGATAGCCCACCCACTATGCTTGCCCACCATGGATGGACCTTCTTGAACATATGATAGAATATATGATAAAATGGGATTCAAAAAGAATATTGTGACAAGTTGTAATACAAGTAGATCATCTCGCCTTACATAGTTCAACCTAAAATATCAAAATTGCGTAATGAAACTTCATGTTTGAGCGATGTAAACAGGACTTTTCGTATGCCAGTTGATGAGTAAAGAGGAATTAATTCGGTCTCTAACTTCCCATGACCATTTCCATATTATTCACATAATATGTTAGTTAATCGAATCTGACTTTTGAGTCATCTATACAGATTCATGGTGTTAGTGAAACACAAATTTTTCATACCCTTCTCGACATTAATTATTACCGGTAATGCTCATCTATATTCTCTTCTTCTTCTTTTTCCTATTTTTCCTTAGTGAAAGATTATGATATTTGTGGAGTCTTGGACTGGGGGATAAGGTTAGGGATCAAAATTGGCATATTGATCACGTGAGTTGTCTAGTCCTGAAGTAACGACGGGAGAGAGTCCTCCGTACTATGATTTGCATTATTTAGTACTCCAATAATTACTCAATTACTCATTTACCGCAAAAGGAAAAAAAAAAGGAACGCTTAATAAATTATTATTATTGTTTTCTTTGCTATACAGACAAGCAAACCGGTCTGTTCCATGCAGTCACTTGTTGATGCCACAAACAGATCAGATCGCTCGAAGCTTTCTCTAATTCTTGGCGATTCTCATATCTTATATACCACTAGTTGAAAGGCGCGGACTCTCTATTGATTTATATCCTATAAACATACACTAAGGTCAAATTAGCAAAGTCTGGATTGAATTTCAAACGAGTTGTAGAAAACTTATAAATGTAAGTGTATCCATCATTTTTAACCTGCTCTACTCCTCCCAGATATGAGCAGATCGACCTGTTCACCTGGGACTACATGTCACGTTCCACTCACCTCAAATGGTTTAAGAAAAAAGGACCAACTATTTGAGCATGGCTTTTAATTCTATAAGAGAAGAAAGATGGGATGGGATATTACACGAGGGCAAGGATTCTCCTCTCACGTAGTTTTGAGCATACATGGAGCACAGCCAATATGAGGGCGCTCCGAGATAATCCTAGGTCAACGACCGCAGATTTAAAGTACGATTAAGAGGATTAAAGTTTCTGAAATTCTCCGATTTGATTTCCTTAAAATTTCTCATCCCTTACTCTCTCTGATGGTCTTACATTTCTCGCCCTTTTTATTTTTTGCCTGAATATTAACGTGCACACCGATCGGGAGGTCTGTTGAATCCTAAAGGACATTCGCGTTCTGCCTTCTGCAATCTCCAAAAGGGCGGAAATCATTCATTCGATGGTAACTGGGATTAATTTACAACATGAAAATCCAAGGATTTTAGACAAAATGTGAAACTAAATCCGGTTTAACTTCAAATCAAAAGAAAATGGAACAACCTTATATTTATTTGATTCAAGAAAGCCCAATTATGGCATTTTGGACCCAACTGCCGAACCTGTGGGTCACTAGCCGCTTAAGAACTCGATCGAGCCCAAACGCGACACAGGCAAACAAAACAGATCATTGGCCCTAGGACAGGTCAATCCGGGCCGTTCGTCCATGCTGACCGCTTTGACTTCCTCTCCGTCCCGATCGCACGGCTTCCAATCGAAGCACTGGAGCATCGCCGCCAGCATTGTCGGCATCTCCTGCATCGCGAGCGAGATCCCCGGGCAGCCCCTCCTGCCGGACCCGAAAGGCAGCAGCTCAAAATGCTGGCCCTTCACGTCGATGGCCCCCGTTGGGTTGGCGGGCTCGAGGAACCTCTCCGGGCTGAACTCCAGGGGATTGGCCCACACCTTTGGGTCTCTAGCTATGGCCCAAATGTTCACAAACAGCAAGGTGTCTTTGGGGATTGTGTACCCTCTGATGTCGCATTCCTGGACCGACTTTCGCGCGATCATCGGGATCGGAGGGTGGAGACGGAGCGTCTCCTTTATGATGGCTTGGACGTACTGCAGCGATTTCATGTCGGATTCGTCCACTAACCTGTGACCGCCCACGACGGAACTTATCTCCTCCCTTGCCTTCTCGAGCACCACCGGATTGTTCATGAGCTCGGCCAGTGCCCATTCGATTGCGCTGGCCGATGTGTCCGTACCGGCAGTGAATATATCCTAGGATGAATTTTGTTTAATGTTAAACATCTCAATTTTACTTTTGTCAGTTTAAAATAATTTCTTCATATAGATAAACTGTACAGTTTAAGCTCAGTTACGCATGAATCAAGATGGCCATCCGGTTCTGATCATGCTACATGCATTCCGTGCTTCGCAGAATGCCCCCGCAATACATGCAAAGTTGGCTCAAAACGCAAAAGAAGCTTCGCTGCTTATCGGCATGTTTAAGGACGTCCTGAGGACTCGGCAAACACCGCATGTCGTCTGCTTTCACTAGTAAAACTCATTCTGTGAAACTACTTACGTCAGCCATCGTAAGTTTAGATTTCTAGGATGACTTTCTCTTTGATGCTGTTGCTTATTTGATAACCAAAACCCTAAACCATCTAGACGGAATAGTCTTTCAACCCTAGGACGTCTTCCTTCCCTCTCAATGCTCGAAAAAGTTTTATGTAAAGATAGTCTAAACTTTTCCTCGTTGAGCAATTAGAGATTCTAGTCCATTTGGCAAGACAAAACCAATTATGAATATGCAACTAAGTTAAGGAGAGGATCTATATCACGTGACATGTTGATGTAATGTCATTCATCTAACTAAATATTATAAAAAAACCTAAAAGACAATGATAATTGATCGATCAAATGACACCATCTAAGCATGCAACATAAAACCGTTTCATGAAAAAGACAAAGTTCAATCAACTTTTGGCTTTTCGAATCCAAGAGAGTTAATTACGAGCTAATTAAAGAATGGGTTTGCCCTTACCAAAACCAGTGCCTTAATGTGGTTTCTGGTCAACTTCATCTCCGAGTTCTCATCCTCGTAGATGTCAAGCATCATGTCCAGAAAATCCTTCACTTCTTCTTTCCCTCCTCCCTCCCCCGCTCTTTGCTCTCTCTTCTTCCTTCTCAGCTCCTCTCTATCTCCAATGATCTTCTCCAACAGCGCATCGTATCTGTTCATCAATCACAAGATGCGTGAACAAAATATGCGTGTGTAAGCATGTACAAGTATTTGTCAATATGATCAATTCAACTCAGATAGTGCAACCATCGTACCTCCTGTGAATGTCCTCGAACCGCTTCTTATAGCCCTGAAAATCGACGTTCTTGCAAAACCAGATGAAGTCGGACACATTAAATTCGCCGAAGATCTGAGTGACCTCCTTTATGAGGGTCCTCGCCTCGTCGGCCTGGCTGTCCACGCCCGAGCTCCGAATGCTCAGCATCATCTGAGAGATGATGTTGTTCGACAACTTCACCAACTCTTGCGTGACGTTGACACTCTTGCCGCTTAAAGATTTATCGTGCAAGACTCTGATGAAGTGTCGGAGCTCGCTGGTGCGGATGGGGAGGAACTGGTTGAGGGTGCGAGCCCCCAGGAGCTCGGTCTGGCTCAGCTTCTTGATGAACTTCCAGTACGGCCCGTAGGGCGCGAACGCGAAGGCCGACTTGTAGGTCAGGTGGTCGATGGCCGCGTTGTGCTTGCGCGCCGAGAACGTCAGCTCATGCGTCTTGAGGAGCTCCTGCGCGAGGTCGGGGGTTGAGGCCACGATGCACGGCACCGACCCGAGGCAGAGGCTGATCAGCGGGCCGTGGCGGGCCGCGAAGTTGCGGAAGGAATGGTGGATGAGGGGGCCGAGGAGGTGGAGGTGGCCAAGGACCGGCAATGCCTTGGGGCTCGGAGGGAGGTTGGGCCTCCTCCGCTTGAGGGCGATCAAGAAGAGGAAGGTGGCGACGAAGATGGGGACGATGAGATAGAACGGGGGCGTTGCCTCGAACAATGTCGTCATGCCGTTCCCAAGCGAAATATTTGTAGGAAATATGGTTAAAAGAGGACTATGGTAAGCTCCGACCCCTGAGCAGCCTGAGCTTGAGCCTGAGCCTTTATATAGTGCGCAAAGCCTACGATTGAAGCGTGTCTTTTCGGGGAAATGTGAGTGTTTCAAGTCAGGAGGTAACACTCGGTGACTCATTTCATGGATCAATTACGCGATGCTAAACATTGTGGGAAGAATTGGGAAACACTCGAGCGTGTGGGTAATTATAACTTGAGATAATTGTCTGGCAAGTCCTAAACACATTGTGTGACGGCAAATTTAGTTATAAACTTTTCAAATTGGCCATTTTAGTGCTCAACCTTTTTTGATGATTTGCCAAACATAATCCATCCGGCCTTTTTGATCGGAAGTCGCTGACGCAGACTCCAGCCGTCCTGTGTGACATGGCCGGCGCTAATCCCATATCAGATTTTGTTTGTCTATAAATCTATTGAAATCTTAATAAAGTAAATGCGTTCACATGACGATTTTATTCCATAAACGGGACAATCAGTTTATATCTTAATACCGTGTAAGATATAGATTGATCCTTTTAACTCGTTCGTGACACACTTAAACACGTTTAATGATGCATTTTTATCTATTGGCCGTATCAACATAACCTGTTCAGATATTTTAAACGTCTAAATTTGTTTTTACACGTTTATATGTAGAAGCTCAAACTTTGCATCATGTAACTCGCTTAATAAACGTGTCATGTTCGGATTTTAAAGTTATGACACGGTACATATACATACATACATATATATAGTACATGTATCTGTACACACATATATATTATATATTGCCTTTGGTTAGACTTAAATTTGACACGATAGGAGTAAATACGAACGCAAGAATTGGTGATTGACAAATGATCATTTCGCTCGTGATACAGCACTATTCTATATACGTGTTTTCTATATGATCAGGCGCTCGGAATTCTTACAAGAAGGTCAAAATTTGATTGAAATTTCTCTCTCCATGAATAAAGCAAGCCAACTGAACTATAACATAAGAGTTCTATCAAAAGATCACATGAGAGTCTATATCTGTTAATTACAATGAACTATAACCGAATTTTACCGTTCTCCGGATAGTATCATAGTCTAGAAGTGTCATAAAGAAAACAACAATGCTGCATATGCTTTAAGTCTCGATACCATATTAACGTGAATATATGTAGTCTCTTATTTTAGGGATAATGACACAAACAGTCATTGAACTTTGACCCAATATGCAATATTGTCCTTGAATTTTTAATGTATTCAATGTAGTTCATGAACTTTAACCTAATGTTCAATGTGATCCGTAAACTGTTAATTTGTTTAATATGGTCCCTGGACTTTTGATACATGTCAATATAGTCATTGAATTATATGAAAATGTTCAATGTAGTCCCTGAACTCGAATGAATGGAAGCACTATATTGAATATTTTCACATAATATAGGGACTAAATTGAACACGTGCCAAAAGTTCATAAATGACAATGAACAAATTAAAAATTCAGGGATCACATTGAATATTAGGCTGAAGTTCAGGGACTATATTGAATAAATTAAAAGTTCACGGATCACATTGTATATTAGGCCAAAGTTCATGGACTGTTTGTGTCATTTTTAAACAAACATCCAACAATTTTCCCCTTATTTTATAGTAACTTTTTTTTTGGCAAGTTTATAGTAACTTGAAATGATAATAAAGATAACAAAATGCACAACCATTTCCCGACGTCCAGAGCCAAAGAAGGGGGGGAGAGAAAAGACCTTGGCAAAGGGAAGAAACGAAATTGGCGAAGCTGCCAAGTCCGATTCTTTTCGGCCCAATTGGAATCAAGACAAGTGCCCAGGTGTCCTTAAAGTTAACTTAGGGTGTGTTTAGTAATCATTCTGTTCTCAAAAATAATTTCTATTCAGAAATAATTTTTTTTATTTCATGCCCGAGAGCAATTTCTAAGCATTTGAATGCGTTTGGTAACTGCCCAAAATTTCTATTATTGGAATAGAAAAAAACATAAATGTGTTTGTTAACCGCACAAAATTTCTTTTTATTAATAATATTTTAAATTTTCTAATATTTCTTTCTTTTTTCTTTTCTTTTTTTTTCTTCTTCTTCCCCTTCCTTGGCCATGGCCATGTCGCCGGCGCCCGTGAACGGCCACAAGCCAGGGCCGGCTCTATCGCCGCGGCCCTTGTGGCTCAGAGGGTGACGAGAGCAGCATTCGCCCAAGCCGCGAGCCACCCTCGCCCAGGCGGCAAGGTTCTAGCCCTCGCTCTCGGCGACCCTAGCCTGTGGCCGGTGACCGGCCACAGGCCAGGAAGAAGAAGAAAAAAAAAATTTCTTTTCCATTTTTTATTCTTGTTTCCAGAATCAAGAAGCAACTTCTTTTTGCTTATTGATTCTGTTCCAAAACTGATTCTGGAAACAAATTTGTGCAAATTTGTGCTCGGGAACAAAAAATATATCAAACGGATTTCTGTTCCAAAACTGATTATGGGAACAAAAGAATAGAGTCAATTACTATTTGGCCAGTTACCAAACGCAGCCTTAAAGCCAAATTTTGTACGCTGTTGACTTAGCCGCATGGCTTTTATTGGATAGGAACTCTATATCATTTATATTTCATGGTCGGATCCGGTGTCATAATCATCCTTAAACATGAATCTATGGTTTGACTTTGGTAGGTTTAGCAAACTCTCTTTAAAATTTCTTTCCATATTGGCTCTCGAGGAAGGGCTAGATTCTCCGAAATCACACCTCTAATTAGTGGGTCCCGAGTTATTCCGATCAAGCCTTCCGATCGCAATGTCCAATGTCATCCAAAAATTGACACCGTACCTTTCAATTACGGATCCAAGTCAAAAGAACGAAGTTTAATTAGTAAATTCTAAGAGTACAAAAACAAAGTTTAACAAAATAATATGAAAATTCCGTCAATGGTTCTTAGTTGACTTGTGGGTCATTCTCAAATTTCCGTTCCGTCGAATTTTTTCCTTTTTTCCAACTTGAATTCCTCATATCGATTTCTATAGTTGTGATTGCGGTTGTTAGCATTATTCAATTTAGCTCTGATTCTGACCCAAAAAAAGGAAAATTTAGCTCTGATGGAACGGGCCATGTGAGAAAGAGTTGACAAGAGATGATTTGATGTCACAATTATTTAGCAAGTGTCTGGCAAGTTTCATTAAAAAGAAGAACGTACGAGTATCAGATATTAAAGTTGCTAAATAATTTTCAAGTTGCATTTTTCTCTTATGCAAGTGTTAAATTTACTAATTGAAATTTGCCAATTCGATGTATTGCAAAGATGTTGCCCACGAAAGTCTATTGTTTTCTTATGCTCCATTTGTTTCACGGAAAAACAAATAATTTGAAAAATATTTCCCTAAAAATAATTATTTGTATCACTTAAAATAATTAGTCCAACAACAATTTATGTCTAAATATTTCCGTGGACAATAAAGACATTTTTTGTTCATTCACTTTTGTAAGCGATACAAGCGATAGTTTTTAGGAAAATATTTTCTGGGTCCTTAATTTTCCGTGAAACAATCGGAGCCTTAAATTCAATCTTCATCATGTAAATTAACAAACTATAGTAGGAAAACTTATTTTGCATAAAATTTTGAATAATATATATAGCTAATAAGAAATTAACACATATAAAATTATTATCATATATGGTTAGTACATTCTCCCTAAGCTTTTCAAAAGTAATGATTAATGGTATCTTGCAAGAAAGAGAGGCCATATTGAAATTTATAAATATTCGACCAATAAAAAATCTCATGAACACACATCACATCATAGCAACATAGAGGAAATTTTTTTTTTTGGGTCATAATAATTTAGAGAATCTTTTGAAAGAGTCTTTTGTTTCTGAGCTATCAGATGGATAGACCTTCCACTAGATCCGCTCCCAAGACGTATTAATCGGCTCCAATAAACAGAGAACCAACAGCTAAGCTAATCTCATTTACAAATGGCACTCATCCTAAGTTTCAAAAGAAAAATAAAAATAAATTGCCAAATGTATTGAAGACAGTATCCAAAACCCTTCTTATTCCTCTTGACCCCGGTACGAAATTCGGACCCAAACATAAAAAAAAGTTAATGGCTAAAATCAGGCCATGACAATACACTTACCCAATTGGTGGAATGTCTGACAAGCTTATAAATCATTGAGGCCGTCGCAATACAATTGGCTCACGAGGCTCACGAGGCCCGTCGATGGAGTACTTGACTGATGAGTTCCCGAAGGGCAGAGCTTAGTTAAAGTATATGAGACGGTGGCGAGGATTGATTGACTGGAAATATGCACATGAGTTGAGGATTAAGTCAAGGAGCAACCATGGATCAAGAAATAATGACTAAGGAATGCGGAGTAGTTACAAATCACCCTTAGAGTGAGGCACAAGTCAAGAAAGTTAAAAAGTTTTCAGAGAAGAATCAAAGTGCATAATGGAATGGCTCATCTAAAGAATTCAGAAGAATCAAGGAAGAACAATCATTGACAATCAAGACGTCACAAAATCACAACACATTAGACATAAATATTAAAAGATCATTCATAACATATCATTTTAGATTATATTATGTAACATCCCTGAATTAACTCACTCGAGATATTATCTGCTTTGACTTACAGATAGGTACTTTCCTAATAGGTCACCCATCCTAGCAGTTAGGGGAGAGAATGGTCCGGGTAAGCAGTTCCTATCATGGAATCGGGAACTGCCCACTAAGGACCGGTTATGAAAAATTGAAATCGAGAACCGCTTATTGGTTTTATGGATCCACTCAGAAACTAGATCGCTGGTCCGATCCGGTTCCTGGGTGAGTCCATGGAACCGATCCTACCAAGCTTCATGCAAATGGAGGTGACCGAGAGCGAGAGAGGAAGGTGATAAACGGCTGAAGACACAGCCATGAGTTGATGAAAGTTGAGAGTCGAGGTCATGAGTCGATAGG